ATGGCAAATTTGATCTATCCGAATATCACATTCACATTCTTGATTTGAAATAATTATTGTTTCATATACTGTTTGATGTTAGGCTCACCCTTTATCTTAATGCAAATATCTCCACATACATTTAGGCGTTCAGTTTTATTTTGTTCATTGTACTTATACAGTCGACTAATCATTACTGATGTACAGAAGAAATAACTGAAAATGTAATTCAACATCAATCTGATTGCATGAATTAAATATATACAATTTTTACTTTTCGGAAGGCATATCTTCGTGCCCCTAGTATAACAGCACGACGATATAGATATTAAAAATATACGAAAATTTGATAAATTAATTTTGGCGCCTTTATGGCACCCCGCTCCCCTCACCATTTAATATAATTGAATTTTGGAAGAAACGTCCTGACAGACGTCGAATTTTTGAAGGACCATTGACATTAAATTGTACTAAAATAAATAAGACATCTTTATCTATAGTTCCGTTTCAGAACCTAAAAGAATCTACTAATTTTACAAGTTTTGCAACATCTTACTCGAAAACCGTTCCTGAACCCACAAAACTGGTTAAACATTGAATCAAATTTAAGAGAGCACAAAACAAAATGGCGTTCGCTTTGTAAACTTTTTACTTTAAAACTTTAGCCGAGTAAAAATGGTAAACTGGAATGCCTACTTCTGATTGGCTGTTATGTTGATTTTGAAGAATTGCCATCTAATTTTGTCATGTTTTCTAGATATGCGTTCCCGAACTTTTGAAATTATTTTGTACTCTGTGAGCGATAACGAAATGTTTCCCTTTTACTAGCATTACTATTTAAAAAGTATTGGAACAGACCACATATGTGAACCGACTTAAGGGGACCCCCCCATCCCTTCTCGGGATCAAAAATTTTGTTGATATAATTCGAATCTACACTAATTAAAGAATGTCCCTACAACATTTCAAATGAAAATCTCAAGAACTCTTGAAGATATAGCCGATTTATTGTGTCAGCATCAAGTGACGGCTGAAGGGCTTCTCAAACTTTAAACGCGTTTTTCTCTAAACATTTTTTTGCGTATGGCGGGCACGATAACTCAAAAACTAATAACCCAATCGATTTCAAATTTTTACACGTTTCTCTGTGAGTGTATAGCTCTTGTATGAACTAGGATAAAGCCAATCGGTGGAGATCTTCCTTATTTTTTAACTTGGGTTTTGGTAAAAAATCTGCGATTTTCCAAAAATATTTTTTCAAAGGTCCACTATTTTGTTAATTTTAGAGCTAAGTCAATAATCCTAGTTCATACGAGAGCCAGACATGTACTCTTACTAACACCGTTGGAATTTTCGGATTCCGATGTTCCAGTGAGGAGTTATCATGCCCGCCATCAAAAATAAGGACTTTTCTTTAATTACAAAAAACAACAACAAAAATTTTTTGTAAATTATTTTTCTTCTATTTTAAATCTTCAATTATATATGTGTGAAGTTACAAACCTTAACAAGCATTGGTATTGATTTACCAGCCCATTGAAAATCTTGAAAAATTAAAATCGAGAATGGGGGGGTTCCCTTAAATCAATCCACACACATGTCCTCGGCAATCTATGCCAAATTCCATTTCATTGGAACAGATTTAGAGTGGTTTATACGAAATTATATAAATTTCTACATACCCCAATCCTACACCCCAACAATCCTAACTCCAAATTTCGAGGATCCTAGCTCTATAGGTTCACCCAAAATCTAACCACATATAGTACCATTTAGTACTTTTCGTACACACAAATAACAATTTACAAAACTATCTAATTAATTTAATTTCAAATTTTAGGATTCCAAAGTAACCTCCTTATATCGACCTTACTTCTCAACCTTAATTCGCATTTCAAGTTTTTAGTTCTATCCATTCACATGCTACGAAATTTTACCAAATTTAGTACTTTTCGGTGATTTATAGTTCGAATTTGCTACATCTATTGCACACTCATCGGTATCCCTCATTTCAAATTTAAGAGTTCCAGCTCTACCGGTTCGCCAAATACAAATGGTACCACATTTAGTACTATTCGTGCCGTTCTTGTAAGAATTTCCAAAAACCCAGCCTTATCTGACACTTTTGGACCAAGAGTGACTCTCACCCCACATTTCAAGACTCTAGATTCAGCCGTTTCGTGTGGGCGTTGATTAATCGTTAATTCAATCAGTCAGTCAATCACTTTACTATTTTATTAGTATAGATAGATTACAATCCGACCTAGCTTCCGAAAAAGTTGTACAAATTATTTGGATTTTTTTTTAATTTTTGGGGACACGTCACGCCCGCACCTTTCGATAATTCTACTTATTTTTTTGGTTGCCGTATCCCATGTATAAAATCGATTTCTGAAACACCATGTGTCGCTTGAAGTGTCTTTCCGGAAATATTCAATTATTGTTTATTTTCACAAGGCCCGAAAAGTTTTAATGTTACGTATCAGCAGGCAATAACGATTATCCTACAGTATATAAAATCACAATCGTCATATCTGTGATAATATAAAACGACGTAGACATTTATTATCATTCCGCATAAAATCGCCAATTTTGATACGAACTCCTATTTTTAGGAAATTGCAAAAAATGACAATGCACTTTGAACACAAATTGAGAATCGTCAAAAAGAGTTTTTGTTTCATTAACAAAAATTGGTAATGTTTCTTAATTAAAATTGTGTCATTATCAATTTACAGCTGTGTAGTAGAGTGAATGGCCGAACAAAAAAAAAACACAAAAGAAATGATAAATACCATCTTAGTGAAATATTTTCATATAAAAGGCCCTGAAGCGATCGAAAATAAATCAAACAATCTAATTGTGTGTAAAGAACAAAAACAACAACAAAACGAAAAGAAACCAAGTCAATACAAAATGTTGTCAAAATTATTCTTTAAAATATTCTTCATATGCGTGGCATTGTTCGCCAGTGTATTTTCGCAAGATTTAAATGATTTCATACCCAAAGTACGTCGTGAAAATTTTGCCAGAATGATTTCGAATGCGAAAGTTAGTCCTGACACTATGGGATTATGTTTCGATAATTACGATGCGGATTGGAAGGAAGCCAAAACGACATATAGCAAGAACTACAGGGAGTGTCTTGATAAGGAGGCCAATGCTAAAGAAGCCATCGATCAAGAAGTAGAACCTGACGTACAAGCTGTTTTAAAGCAACAACAACAAATTAACAATGGCTATGGAAATTGTAATGAAGGTGGCGATAAATATAATTTCTTTGCGTGCTCCAACAATGCGGTAAGTTTGCGGCGGTACTCCTAATAATTATAATAAGAAAATTATTAAATTTTCCTAATAATTCCCCTCAGTCTTCTGATGCCCTGAAAACATCTCGTGACATTCAAGCAACTTGCAAAGATAAAATGCAATATATTACCATGCGTAGGGATATGGTCAAATATGATCGAGAGGGTTGTACAACCAAATGCAACGAGGACCATAATAATGAGTTGCTAATTGTGCAACAGACATTAACCGATTGTTTGAATGGTATAATTGAACCTCGTCCACCCACACAACCGCCTACAACGACAACTGCAAAACCAAATACAAGACCACCAACAAATCCTACATATCCAACTACAGAAGCAACCACAACAACAACAACTGATGATGATGACAAGGAGTAATTTTAATTGCCTTGAAATATTTCATGACATACGAACTTGAACTTGGTATTTTCATATTTTTTTACATATTATATAACTATTTACCATATAACATATATTCAGAATGTAAATGCAAACACTATACAAAAAATATATCATATTACATCAAAGTGATTAACAAAGCAATCGATCGCAGTAATTATTTCGAAATCAAATACTGATAGGCCTCGAAAAAATATTCTTTAAAAAATCCACGCCTATGATAGCCATCGAAAAAATATTCTTTAAAAAATCCACGCCTATGATAGTCATCGAAAAAATATTCTTTAAAAAATCCACGCCTATGATAGCCATCGAAAAAATATTCTTTAAAAAATCCACGCCTATGATAGTCATCGAAAAAATATTCTTTAAAAAATCCACGCCTATGATAGTCATCGAAAAAATATTCTTTAAAAAATCCACGCCTATGATAGTCATCGAAAAAATATTCTTTAAAAAATCCACGCCTATGATAGTCATCGAAAAAATATTCTTTAAAAAATCCACGCCTATGATAGTCATCGAAAAAATATTCTTTAAAAAATCCACGCCTATGATAGTCATCGAAAAAATATTCTTTAAAAAATCCACGCCTATGATAGTCATCGAAAAAATATTCTTTAAAAAATCCACGCCTATGATAGTCATCGAAAAAATATTCTTTAAAAAATCCACGCCTATGATAGTCATCGAAAAAATATTCTTTAAAAAATCCACGCCTATGATAGTCATCGAAAAAATATTCTTTAAAAAATCCACGCCTATGATAGTCATCGAAAAAATATTCTTTAAAAAATCCACGCCTATGATAGTCATCGAAAAAATATTCTTTAAAAAATCCACGCCTATGATAGTCATCGAAAAAATATTCTTTAAAAAATCCACGCCTATGATAGTCATCGAAAAAATATTCTTTAAAAAATCCACGCCTATGATAGTCATCGAAAAAATATTCTTTAAAAAATCCACGCCTATGATAGTCATCGTAAAAATATTCTTTAAAAAATCCACGCCTATGATAGTCATCGAAAAAATATTCTTAGAAAATCTACGCCTAATCCTTTAATATATCCACGATCCGGATTAGAACTTAAAAAGCACAGCAATTTATAGCCGAGGATATACATTATTAATGTTCATTTATACGTTTATTTATTTATTTTTTTAATTTGTTTAGTACTCGGTTGCTGATTCCTCAGTTTCCTTACCAGCCAAACAATCCTGCAATTTGGCATGTATGCTGGCCGTATCCTTGGCATATACATCAGATGCCTTGGCTGCGCAAACATTTTGATTGTACTGTATTGTCTCATATTTCAATTTGATATATTGAACCCGATCTTGGGATAGAGTTTGAATGCTATATGCCTGGGATGTTGCTCTGCCAGCCTAAATTAAAAAAAATATATAAAAAAAAATTTATAATAAACGTGGAGTGACCCCAACTTACCGCATCATTGCTACACTCAAAATAGGCCGAGGGATCGTCTCCAAATTCACAATTAGCAAAAGCAGAGCAAATTTGATCAACTGAATTATTGAGTGAATCTGCAGCAGGAGATACTTTTTGTCTTACATCTTCCTTTGAATTGACACTGTCCTCCAAACATGTCTGATATTGCGATTCATATTCATTTGTTATGTCATTCAGCTTTGGCAAATAAACCGAAAAACATTGAGCACTCTTCGCAGGATCGTATTGAATCGATGCCACCGAGCTTAAAATCGTATTGGCCAAATTGTAGTCGTCCTGGGCCACAGCAATGGCTAATATGCCAAATATGAACAAATTCAAAAAACTATTCTTGAACATTGCGTCAAGTCTGGTAGCAGCAGGTTTGTTGAGATGCCTGTTGATCCGTTGGTTATTCGGACTTATATAGAAAACTGTTTATTGACAATTAGTTTTCAATATTAATTGTATGACTTAATGGGCATCTGGAAAAAAACAATTGTTGAAGTGACGTTCAATATTTGAAATAGTTAATTAATTAGACAAAATGTCTGCTAATATTTAAATAAGAATTAACAGCCTATTGCAGTAGGGGTGGGAGCACTAGGTGTCTTTAAAATATCCACGCTTATGGCTCTTTGAAAAAATTTTCCTTAAAAAATTTACGCTTATGGCTCTTTGAAAAATATTCTTCCCAAAATCCACGCTTATGGCTCTTTGAAAAATATTCTTCCCAAATCCACGCTTGGCTCTTTAAAAAAGTATATTCTTTAGAAATTCCACGCTTATGGCTATATTCTTATAGTCATAGGCGTCCATTAAAATATCCACGCTAATGGCTGCATTCTTATAGCCATAAGCATTCTTTACAGAATCCACGCTTATGGCTATATTCATATAGCCAAATATATTCTTAAGAAATATTCTTAAACAAATCTATTAACTTAGCTCCAAAAGTGCCTTTGATAAATATATACGTGTATAGCTGTCATAATCCCTTCAAAAGTATTAAAAATCCAAGTCAAAAATATTCACGCCTCCGATAGTTCCCAAAAAAAAATTAATAAATCCAAGCCTATCAGAGCTGTAGCCCCTCCAAAATAAGCTAAAAAAGTGAAAAATATGTTGAAATATGGTAGGCTTCGAAAAATATGATATAAAATATCCTCGCCTATGATAGACTTCGAAAAAATATTATTTAAAAAATCATCGCCTATGAGATGCTTTGGAAAAATATTCTTTAAAAAATCCAAAACAGTCAAAAATATGTTGACATAACCAAGTGCTAAATAGGAACTATTTCTGAAAACTTTTAAAACCATATGTAGAACCTCAGGGTATACATATACCGACTAAGCCAACTCAATTTTCATTCGGAATACTTGTTTTTGTGTACATAGAAAATAAAGATAATTTTTCATTTATTTTTCATCTAATTAATTTATTCGCGGAAGCTATAACAATGACATTATGTACGCAGATGGACTGGACAATTGCATTTTTCTATAGAAAAAAATGTTTATGTATTTTTCGTAAGAGGGCTTTGCTCTTAACCACAATTAATGTCAGTATAAAGTAATCAAAACGTGCAAAAAACGGATGCCTCCAAGCAAACCCCAGAACTCCCCTCCAGCTACTGGGAAAGGCCAAAACTGGGAAAAAAATTTTCCATCATTTAATACGAAGCTAACGCACAACCAACCACAAGTCAGTGGAGACCTGCTACGATAATCCTCCAATAGAGGGACACAAGGGGAATTTTAAGGGGTACTATCTGCTATTGCAGTTTGATTCGCCAACAAGCATAGAAGTTTTATAGATTGGGTTTTTATTACACATTTTTGGGTTGTAAAAATTGCATATGGGGGTGAATAAAAACCCATAGGGAAAATTCTACCATAGATAATTTTTATACCCTACACAACTATGTTGTCAGGGTATTATAGCTTTGTGCAGCCCCAAATGTTTGTAACGCCGCGAAATATTGGTCCTAGACCCACCTTTAAGTATACCGATCGTCATATCTCGACTAGCTGAGTCGATCTAGACATGTGTGTCCGTCCGTCCGTCCGTCCGTCCGTCTGTCCATTATAATTTGTAAACACGATACAGGCCACAGTTATGGACCAAACTTCACGAAATTTTGCATGTAGGATGGGTTCTGGCCAAGGAAGACCCCTATTGTTTTTGGAAAAGATCGGTTAATATTTAGGGGATGAAATGGACCAAAAACATTATTTTTGTCGGTTTTTCTGGTCGCTCCAGAGGCCGCAATTATGGCCCAAACACCGCGAGAGAAGGGGATCGGGCCAGAGAATAAGCATGCATGTTTTGATAAAGATCGGTCAATATTTAGCGGGTCAAATGGACCCTGACTTTTGTGTGAAAAATGACAAAATTTGTATTCTATGGCATATATATTTACTCCTGGAGGATGTAGACCCCAGGAGTTGATAGCATATCCAAGAGGAGTGGTTTTCCTTTAAATTGATACCAAATATAGTGATGTATCTACTCAGATGTGGGAGTTACAGTCAAATATTTACAGGTGCTTACGTATTCAGATATTATTTAGTAACCCATTACCACATTAGTGGGAGAAATATCGCGCTGATGGCTTTGAAATTTTTCATGAAGTTCCAGTTATGGTCAAGAACAACGCCTACAATTTTCGGTGATGATCAGATTAAAATTTTGGGATGAAATGGACCGAAAACTTAATTTTTTGTGTTATTTTCGAGTCAATCTATAGACCACAAATGAAAGCCGAACATCATATATTGTAAAATATATGCTCTTTTATTTCAATTATTTGTGCGTCTTTTTCACATAACGAGATTTATTGAACTCTAAATATTCCACAAAAATGCCGCTCCTAAAATTATAGATAGGGCGTCCAAAATTTCGAATATTTGGGAAAACTGAAACATCGATATATTTAATTTCAAAGTTTATTAGTAAAAATAGGCATTTTAGATTTTCAGAGGATAGAGACAGAATATTTTCATATTTAGATACCGACCCATTTTCGGCTCAAGTCTAAATGTCTGTATGTTCGTATTTGGTTTCTTTTCTTCTACTGATCTGCAATTTACAATGTGTGGTCCTCATATAAAGAACCCCATCCCTTGTTTAGATTCCGACTGAGGCTCCATCCAAATAAAAATATATTCTCAGACAAGAATCCGCTAATAGTTTTTATTATTTGCATTTCTTCATTTTTTTATTTTTTCACTTCACTAAAGCAACAATTTTCGTAAGCAATATGGTTTTACATCAATTAAAAAAGTTTACAATACTGCAGTTGTATTGGGAACGGACTCTGTGGTAGATGTCGATGATGAAGACTCCTCCGGCTGTTTGCCAGCCAAACAATTTTCTAGTTCAGCGTGAACTTTTGCTGAATCCCTTACATACGTTTCCGAAGCTTTAGCTGTGCAAATGTTTTGAGTATACTGTATGGTCTCGTATTTCAATGTTATATACTGCATGCGATCCTGGGAGAGTGTCTGAATGCTATAGGCCTTGGAAATTGCCTTGCCAGCCTTGGGAATACAAAAAATAAAAAGAACGACATTTAAAAACGACATTCAAATATTTGACTAGTAAATATTAATATAAATACATAATATACATTATCGAATATAAATATATTATCGGATTCTCCGACGAATATAGGGTATACTAAACGACACTTACCACATCATTACTGCACTCAAAATAACCATAGGGATCCGCATCGAAAACACATCCTGAAAATCCATTGCAAATTTCTTCACGGGTACTATTTATAGCAGCCGCTGCCGGTTCCACTTCTTTGCGTACAGCCTCCTTGGCATCTTCAGTATTGTGTAAACATTCCTGATATTGTTCTTCATACTGAGCTGTTAGATTATTTAATTTCGGTAAATATACCGCAAAACAATGTGCACTTTTTGCAGGATCATATTGAATTGAGGAGGTTGATCTCAATATTGTATTAGACAAATTTAATTCAACTTGTGATTTTTCTGCAATACTAATGGCGAATAGCGAACAGACACCGAGAAGAGTAAACGTTATCAAATCGATATTAGACATTGTGGTTAAATCACGGGCTTTTTACCGATTGCTACATTTGATACCAGCAACGATTGTCTTTATACTCAAATGTAATTTTGAAGTAGTTATTATCGTTCTCTAAAAAAATAAAAAAAATGATGTGATTTGATAAAAATAGTAAATACTTGAAATAAATGTGATTTCTTCGAAAACAAATGTAGGATTTTTTATTTGGAGTGCACGAAAGTAATCAATGTAACTTAAGATAATTACACTGTGGTAGGTCACTAAGCTAATATTTATATTCTAAGCGTTCAGGAAAAGTTTGAAAATGTGTATGCAACTAGAACATGTATTTATAAAAAATGATGAAAAACTTATAATATGACTATGTATGATTTTTAAACGATGTCAATAGGAAAATTATATCTCTCTCAAAAATCTTTCATTTTCCAAAAATTGACTATTTTAATGGTCAATATGTAGATATACTACAGATTTTTCTTCGAGTCTTCTTTTAGTGTTGTCTACGTTAACAACATTTAGTCCAAATGATATTCCAATAATAAAAGGGGAATTAATTTTGAAAATTTTAGCCATCAGTCAACATTTAACACTTGACGAGTTAAATTGTTCTCCAATTCTCTCTCCACTACACGCCGTCACTAACCACCTACGGCATTTAGCAAAGGCACAAACCATTTTGTTGTAAAATTATACATTTCATAAATAGTTTGAGTAGCATTGTTTCATATAATTAAATGTGGAGAGATTCGTATCTACCACTTGTTTTTATAATGGAGACATATGTATGTAATAAGACAGATACAGTCCTCAGCAATTTTACAACAAAAACAAGTAAAAAAACGTTAATTTCGGCCAGGTCGAACTTTTTAGATGTGGATTAACATATCTATAAAATTTAGCTCGTCTGCTAGGAGGATTTTATAAAAAAATATCAAATTACAAAATTTCTCAGGTTAGAAAAATCCTTGTACATACCTAAAACA